CCAAAGACGAATCGTACACGAACTTCATTCTGGCCCACGAGTTCTTCGACGCTCTTCCAATTCTACAGTTTGAGAAAACCAAAGATGGGTGGAGAGAATATCTTGTTGACACCGAAACCTCTGAGGAAATTGAGAAGAAAAAGAGTACATTGTCCTTGCCAAATACCTCGGTCTACAAGACCTCCGATCTCCAGCAGAATGGAGCTTCATGTAAACAGGCCTTCCACATGGTGCTTGCGCCTTTTGCTACTCCCTCCTCCAGCATACCCAAAAGCAACGCGAGATTCGACAGCGTCGCTGAGGGCTCCCGAATTGAGATATGCCCCGAGGCTTTTTCGTATTCGACGAGAATGGCGCAGTTGATCAACAGGTCTACTACTGGTGCTGCTCTGATCATAGACTATGGACCAGCAGAGACTATTCCAATCAACACCTTGCGCGGGATCAAAAATCACAAAATAGTCTCTCCATTTGTGACTCCCGGAGAAGCAGATTTATCTGCCGATGTTGATTTTGGAAATTTGGTAGAGATATTCAGCAAATTAGGATGTAAGGCTTATGGGCCCGTGGAGCAAGGCGACTTTCTTCACGAGATGGGCATCGCCTTTAGAACAGATCAATTGGCTCATGTTCACAAATCCAATCCTGCTGAGAAGGAAAAAATCGTGAGGGCTTATCAAAGACTAGTCGGAAAAAGCATCAACGAGATGGGAGGTATCTACAAGTTCTTGGGTGTTCTTCCAGGAAGATGCCACTATAACCCCGTTGGTTTCGGCGGTAAGGTGGAGTAATCTTGGTATTCGTTAAATGTACATATTAATTGAGAACTTGGTTTTCATGCTTTAACCCGTTTCTCCATGCTGGTGCTGGCGCTTTCCAAGACATGCGCTGGTCTCTTGGTGTTGAGTGTAGAGCGGGCTTTTTCAGTATCTTTTTCGGTATCTTTTTCAGAAGCTTTGTCAATACGTTTTTCAGTACCTTTCTCAGAGTCCTCTTGAACCAATTCACCCTCGTCGTTCAATTCATCTCTGAATAACGTGACAATTTCTTCCAGACTCTTCGCCGCAGAGAGCCTCACACGAGCGGATTTGCTCTTGTTTCCCTTTGGAATAAGCCTGGACATGCAATATTTCGCCACAGACTTGTACGTCTCGAACTGCTCGCAAACATCTGCATAGTCTCTGCAAACTTGCATCCACGGTAAAGGACCTTCCTTGCGGAAACAAGATGGGTTTAGTTCAGCAGCGGAAGCTACCATGCAACCTACATCTTCGCCGTAAACATTCTGCAATTCCGCATATTCTTTGTAATCTTTCACATCACCGTTGATGATGAAAGTCACATTTTTGGCGCGACACATGTCTCTAATATCGGGAACAAAGTCTCGTATAGGTTTCTCTCTGTTCCTCATGGTCTTGGTACGACAATGCACTGTCAGGTTGGCGATCCCTGTATCCAAAAGTCTTGACACCAACTCCAGAGTCTTGTCTTTGTCATCAAAAATCCTAATCTTGACACTGATCGGTTTCTCGTTAGGCTTACCCACCTCGTTCACCAGGCGTGTCAGAATGTCCACTAGCAGGTCAGGCGTCGAAAGCAAAGCCGCCCCCATTCCTGAATGAATAGAAAAGTGCTTTGGACACCCGGCATTGATGTCTATTCCTGAGACGTCTTTTATAACAGTTTTGGCGGCCTGAACCGCCAAGTCTGCATCTGCAGTGCCCATCTGAAAAATCAGCTTATTCGTCTCCAACGCAGGGAACGTGCGGAAAACCAAATTGCTCACAGCATCATCGTTGTTCGACTGGGTGATAAAGTCCACCGTGCCCAGTTTTTTATTCTCCACCCTCTCGCAAACTAATAGCTTCTTGTCGATGATCTCAGGTCCCCATACAAGGTCCGCACCGTATCTCAACGAAAGCAGTCTGGTCGGCAAATCTCCGATCCGCACCATAGGCGCAAGCACGAACGCCGATTTGTAATTCACCATTTTTCGCAAAATCCGAAGGCTCATAAAACCACGCCACAAGGGTCCAACTCCTCATGCTGTCATCCCGGAGACCGTTCAAATTTTTTTGGAATTTTGGCAGGTCGTGTACCGAGTCTAACCGGCCAGAAGGACCATCTCCGGGCACCCTCTTAGTGAAAAGTGGCTAGTTCCATGTTTGCCAACCTGTTGATTTAAACAAGGAAGCAGTATTCCCGGCTACACAAACAGTGAGGCTTTTGTGAGATAGACATTGGCAGTGAACAGGGTTCAGCCTTTCTTGAATTTGGAGCTTTTTTCAACGTGTTTGTTTGTTTTTACACGCCTCCTGCTCTGTTGAGACATTGAAGATCGTTGCTAGCACCGATAACTTTCGCTTTGGTGGTGTGTGTTTTTTGTTGTTTTTTCTGCGGATTTCGTGACTGTTTTTTTGAATTGCGCTCGTTAGGGCTAGCTCTCCAATGAATCTGGCCAACATAGACACGTCCAAAAGGGATTTCTCAACCCCTGTTCCTGAATGGGACGATCATGGGAATCCGATCCCCAACCCCAGCACAGATTCGCTCGTGGAATCCATAGAATTCACAAACCCTCCCAACAAAAACATCATACGGCGCTCCTCTGATGGTGCCTTGTTACGGCCCACGCGTTCAGTGAATATTGATCCGTTATCTCCCACTAATAGCTCCTCGAACTCTGCCGATCACATCAACTTTGCGCGACCTTCGCCGAATATTGCGCCCCATAAGCTCAGCTGGATTCAGAATGTGGCTAGAATCCTGAGGAAGTATCTCAGTTATATTGGGCCAGGTATCATGGTTTCGGTGGCCTACATGGACCCTGGTAACTATTCCACGGCAGTTGCTGCCGGCGCAGCTCATAAGTATAAGCTGCTTTTCTCAGTATTATTGGCCAATATTTTGGCAGTCTTTTTGCAGACTCTATGTGCAAAGTTGGGATCCGTCACTGGTCTGGATTTGGCTCAGAATTGTAGAGAACATCTGCCCAGGAAGTGGAATCTGTTCATTTACATTCTGGCAGAGATCGCTATCATCGCTACGGATCTGGCAGAGGTGGTTGGAACAGCTATTTCGTTGAACATTCTCTTTGGCATCCCCTTGCTTGCGGGTGTTATTTTGACTGTTATCGATGTGTTGATTGTCCTGATGGCATACAGACCCAACGGGCCTCTGTTTATAATAAGGATCTTTGAGGGCTTTGTTTCACTACTGGTGGTGGCCACGGTGGTGTGCTTTGCTGTTGAGCTCTCTGCCGTTGCACCAACGACAGACTTTGGCGAAGTTTTCAGGGGATTTCTGCCCTCGGAGGATGCCGTTAAGGGAGACGGTCTCTACCTAAGTTTGGCCATTCTCGGTGCAACTGTGATGCCACACTCGCTCTATCTTGGTTCGGGATTAGTCCAGTCTAGACTACGTGATTTTGACGAGAAACAGGGGAATTATGTACCTCCTGTGGAACCAGTCAGGAGTCCAGCAGAAGACGAAGAGACTTCTAAGTTTTCCAGATACTGTGGAAAGGAAGACGACGAGATCCCCAGCGAGGCTATCTACAGACCGTCTTTGGAAGCCATTGATGATGCCATGTCGTACACAATTGCCGAGCTGGTGGTGTCTCTCTTTACAGTTGCCCTTTTCGTGAATGCGGCAATTTTGATCGTGGCGGGATCCACGCTATCAACGCCGATAGACGATGATGATGATGGCAAGCTCAACGACTCCGCCGATCTCTTCACCATTTATCACCTTTTGAAGACCCATCTTTCCAAGACTGCGGGTGCTGTTTTTGCCCTGGCGTTGCTGTGTTCAGGCCAGAGTGCGGGAGTTGTCTGTACTTTGGCAGGCCAAATGGTCAGCGAAGGCTTTCTCAGATGGAGCATTCCACCAGCTGTTCGCAGACTGTTGACCAGAGCTGTGGCCATTGCCCCGTGCTTGGTCCTGGTTTTGGTGAGTGGTAGGGAAGGCTTGAGTGGAGCGTTGAATGCCTCTCAGGTGATTCTCTCGTTGCTGCTGCCTATCGTGTCTGCACCATTGATTTATTTCACCTGCAACAAAAACATCATGAAGGTTGCAATCAACCCAAAATTGCAGCAGTACGGTGGGATACCCAGCTACGAATTGGAGGAGCTTGGAGACGAATCGGTGGAATTGGAGGATGAAGAGGAGATCCTATACAAAGACATGAGCAACGGAACAATCACTGCCATCTTGGCAGTTGGTGTATGGGGATTCATCACGATTTTGAACTTCTGGCTGTTGTTCAATTTGGCATTAGGCAAAGACACTCCGTTGTAGGCATACGTTGATTGTAAATTTTCATTATTCTAGCATAACTATAACCATTGCATGACAAATCAGATGCGATTTCTAGTAGTTCCCCGTTCCACTCTATATGTTCTGATCACCATCTTCATCGATAACAGCCATGTCTAACACCTCCACATTACCAACGGGCTTTTTGTTTTTCCCATTCAGATGCTCGCCTATTTCGCGGTAAGACTCGGGCTCGATCAGACAGACACACTCCCATTCGGAATCCTGGAATTCGTCAATCACTGTGTCTATGAGCTTCCTCAGAGTTTGACCTAGCTCACCTTTAGCGTCCTTGGACGGAAGCGTGATTCTCAGCTTCATCTTGGCTCTTGCCAAAGGAATGATCTGTTTCTGTGTGAGTAGCTTTATGGCTTCGAGGGCCCGTATCTTTGTTGGTTTGTTTCCATTCAGATTGAACTTGAGCTCGGCAAGAGCCTTGGCTATCATTGTGGTGGTGTACCTCTTCTTATTTTTGGGATTCACGCACTTGGAGCTTATTATTTGGAGAATCTCATTAACATCTTGTTCCTGTTTGGCATTTCTTTCTCTTTCGTTTAACTGAATTTCTCCCTTTTTGAGGATCTCTTGGATGATTTTGTCTTGGTCAGTATGGCCGAAACTCTTCTGCAAATCATCCTGTGGAGCTATCAGACCTTTTGAAACATTAACAAACACCTGGGGAATTTGAAGCACCTCGTCGAGATCTTTCTCGCTGAGTCACGTGTTAGTAACAGAATCATCTTTCAGGCACAAAAATGCAACGTTGTCTTGTTTCACTTACACTCCAGTTCTGTAGTCTTGGACTTTGTTCTGGTAGCACGCAATCTCAAACCTCTTCTTTCCCTTTTTCATTCTGACCAATGACACATTGGTCAGCTTTATCTGTGACGAAGGTTGACTGATGATACCCATCGTAAAAGCAGAAAATAGCCAAAAAAATTCGCAATCTAGTGCCTTCTAAAACTTTAAGCATGCAACACAACAGACATAAATTGCAAAGGGGACCAGAGCCAAATTTTTCAGAGTGAGTTTCGCACGCACATATTCAAATGCTCGAGTATGGGGTAACCAACTTTTTCAATCACGTCGTCGGCCCATAACACGTCCAGATGAGCATATTTTTCAATTTCAAGGATAGTCGTCGATATGCGAGGCTCGTTTAATCTCATGTGAGTTTTGAGCTTCTCTCCATCCACCAATCTATCCTCCAACGGTATCACCAGCATGATAGGAGGAGTCCGAGCTGGATCGAACCAGGATTGGGTCTCGTCTAATATGCATTCTTCGCTCCCAAAACCACCGGTTTGCGAACATAACCACCATGCCATGAGCTTCGTACTCACGTATACGGGGCTGAATAGAAAATGCTGAGATCTGAGGCTTGGATCCCACAAAGTGTCAGTCCAATCAAACAGGAAGTTGAACATGGAGTAGCTCAGTAGACCAAAAATAGAGTATTTGTAAATAAGTCCTCGAACTGAGAGCATTATTGGCATGAAGGAATGAACGCCAAAAAACCACTTATATGTTGAGTCAGAAATTCCTTGGATGAATTTGATAAACAGTTTCTGGTGGATCAGAGCACCACGGAACACTGCCGGTGATAACGCTATGAACGTAGTGATCTTGTGGTTAATGGCACTTCCATGTTGCTCAGAAAGAGCCAAAAAGGTCTGAGATGTTCCCTGAGAATGGCAGCAAAGAGAGACCTTGTCGAAAGCCGAAACTTTCAAAATTTCGTCCACCATTGCCGGAAGGTCGAACATGGCCAAGTCCTTCACATCCCAATCCCACATCCTAGGGTCTTGAGGACTCAATGTCTCATTTCTTGGCACAAAACCACATCTGTTGTTTCCCAGCCATACATCGAATCCATTTCTGAAGAGAAAAACAGCCAGAGACTTTTCGCCCGAAGTTACGAAAGAACCAGACGATTGGAGCAATCCGTGTACTAGTAGAACGGGTGGTCTGCGGTTAAGCTGGTCTCTATCCGAAGGATCCGTAATTCTCTGCAAAGTAATGATAAAACCGTCCTTAGTCTTTATTCTATATTCCAAAAGCTCCAGATTCAACATATTCAAGTAATATCCAAGATCCGGGATCCTGGCCAGTTTCTTCCCCTCTGCGTTGGGATATGCTGGTGTTCGCGGGCTCTGATGGGAGTGCACTCCAGCGCCTGAAATTTTGCCATAATAGTAATGGAATAGTGCCAGTACCATCAGAATAGATAAGAAGAATGTAGTACACATCCAGGCGACTATCCTATGTAGCCAAGATAGTGCCGTAGACCTGACTATCTCGTCGTGAGATCTCTCGATAAGAAGCTGGTCCGCAGCGGAAACCGAAACGGACCCATTGTCGCTCCGGTTAGTATTGAAACCAGTCAGACTGATGGTCTCGTTCATCAAAAACAAATGTGGCTTTTGAGAATTTCTCGAGTATCTTTTGAGTAATTGTTGGGTAATTCTTGAGAACTGTATGACAATCTCCTATAGAAACTGAAGCTTACGCGATAGCTCATCGGCTCGGGTTGGAAATTGATTTTTCACTCTATTTCACTTACAGAGACATCTTTCTTCGATATTTCTTTGATATGTCTTTCATAGATCGTCCATCTATCGTCCATATTTTCGCGATTTTTTACCATTTTTTGATTAATCTCTCACAATGTCAGATAACCACACCCAGGTCATAGACACATACGAAAACAACGAGATATCAGCGCAAATAATAGAGTTCCAGGACAAGTCCGTCATCCACCTTGCGCTGAATGGAGAGAAAGACACAACCATAGACATCCCATTGCCGCTGACACCGGGAATCAAACTTGCGTCTGAATCCACAAGTTCCAGAATATCGCCTGTGGTTTTGCTGGGAAACCAACAGAATCTGAAGACTATGGTGATGGCCAACCAGATAGGCACTCTGTTCTACACGTTTTCACCAGAACCGAAGAATCTGATCCTGATCACATCTTCGAAACTCTGGAATGAGAAGGATGATGCTAGTAACGCAGATTTCCAGAAATTGGCGTTTATTCTTGGTTTGCTGAAAAGATGTGCTGGATTCCCGTGATTGTTATCAGCTGAGAACGGTAACTCCATGGGGAATCACAGTTGATTCACCGTTCCCCCAATTCGAACGATGTTTAGCTATTATTTTGGAATTTATATAATGTCTAATGATTATCAATGGAAATATTTAACAAAAAACTTGTCAATTGTCGTATTTCTTGGTGTCAAGCCATTTGGCCGGATTTTTCACTTTTCAGCCGCATTTAAATGGCAGTGAAAAATCAGAGGCATCTCTCGCATCTGAATCTTGTAATCAAGTTTACACTCTCTTTTGCCCCACCACAAGATCAACTCATAACCCCACAAATGGATTCAGACGAGGAATTCGGAACGTCTCTGTCGCCAGAAGAGCTTTCTGATGACGCGATCGAAGTGGCCGACGATGCATCCACTCCTGTGGCAGGCATTTCGAACCGTACGAGGAAGAAGACGGTGAAGAAGGTTAACCAGGTAGAGTTGATGGGCCAGAGTGGTGGTTATTCTTGGGAAGACGAGTATAGAAGGTCATGGGATATTGTCCAAGAAGATGAGTCGGGATCTATTGAATCGATAGTGTCTGGTCTGGTGGAGGCCCACAAAAAGCGACTGTTGAAGAATGTGACTCCGTTCCAGAGAGGTATTATCAGAACATTGGTGTTGGTGCTTGATTTCAGCAAAGTGATGAGCGAGAAAGATTTGAGACCTAGTCGGGCTTCCCTAATGCTTTCATATGCGATTGACTTCATTAACGAGTTTTTCGATCAGAATCCGATATCGCAGATAGGTGTGGTGATCATGAGAAACGGACTGGCCCAGCTAGTTTCTGAAGTAAGTGGAAACCCTTTCGATCACATTGAAGCATTGAACAAACTGAAGCGGGTGGAGCCTCAGGGTGATCCTTCGTTGCAGAATGCACTGGAAATGAGCCGGGGTTTGCTGATGAACACTCCCACCCACTCAACCAGGGAGGTGTTGATAGTGTTTGGTGCTCTCTTCACCTCGGATCCGGGCGATATCCAAAAAACCATTACTCATCTCCAGAAAACGGCAATACGAGTGCGCATAATTGGCCTTACTGCTCATGTCCAGATTTGCAACGAAATCTGCGAAAAAACAAATTTTGGAGACTCCAAAAACTCGTACTGGGTGATCCTGAATGAAAAGCATTTCAAGGAGTTGTTCATGGATGCGGTGATTCCATTGGCAGTAGCAAAATCCACAACTGAAAAGTTTACGCTGGTGAAGATGGGATTTCCTTCCAGGGTTGCCAATTTCGGTACACCAACGTTTTGTTCATGTCACTCAAAGCTCATATATGGAGGCTACATATGTCCCAGTTGCAAGGCCAACATTTGTCTTTTGCCAACCATTTGTCCTTGCTGCAACTTGATGCTGATTTTGTCTACACATCTGGCAAGATCATACCATCACTTATTTCCACTCAAATTGTTCTCAGAAATACCTGTTAGCAAGGCATACGAGTCTACGAACTGCTTTGGGTGCCAGAAGAGTTTCCCCAGTAAGGGCGTGAACAGCGAGCTGGTTCACGAAGCTGAAAAACACAGACAAACAGCAGATTTTATCACGAGCTCAAGGTACAGATGTGAGGATTGTCGCAAAGATTTTTGCATCGATTGCGACGTTTTTGTGCATGAGGTGTTGCATAACTGTCCCGGATGTGAGGCTGACAATCTGAGGTTAGATGAAGAGTAGTTTGTATGATAATGAAATAGGATAGGAGATTGAAAACTCAAACACCAAATACAAAACTGAGCTGTTTGACTGGGAAATCGTGGGCTTCACGTGCATTTTGGTTCGACGGAGTAAATTGTATCGGCAGGAGTGAAAAGTTGGCTACTTCTCGTGCATTGCCTGTTCTCTATAAACAGTGCACATTACATTTACACGGAAATAAATCCTGCTTTAAGGCTTATTATCTGAATAGTCCTTCTGTAAGATTATATTCACTTTTCTCTAAATTACGAGGCTTAAATCAAACGAATTTCATCTAATCAACTGTCCCCATACCCACTTTGCTACTCTATGCATAATCTTACTTCTCTATCGTATTTCCCGAAGAGGCAATGGGGCGGCGCTCCATCGGCCATCGCCACATAACCATCCCGGGGAGATCCCAAACGAGGAGCAGCCGAACCATCCAGTGCCAGTTTCATCATCAAATCCAAATACCCTTCTCTTCTCTAGAAAGTCGGATATATCGCATACCTGCAATTGCCAGCTTTCAATTTGCCTCTGTTGTGTTTTTTTGTTCAATCAGGCCCGCGCAAACCCAATCACGTGTCCCATCGTGAGTACTCCCTAAGGTCGATTTGCCAGATCACACCCACATCCCTAAGAACACAAATTTTTCGTCATGTCGAAGGCATTTGTTCGCTCTATCAAGAATGTCACAAATGGATACTCCTCGGTTCAGGTTTTGGTTAGAAACGCAACCTCGAACGAACCATCCGGTCCTTCGGTGAGCGAGATGGCTGAAGTTTCATCCCACACATTCGACCAGGGCGAATTCCTAGAAGTCATGGACATGGTCGACAAGAGACTCAACGATAAGGGAAAGAACTGGCGTCATGTGGCTAAGGCATTGACGCTGTTCGAGTACCTGGTGTTAAACGGATCTGATAGATGTGTCCATTGGGCCAAGCACAATCTATACATCGTGAAGACCTTGAGAGAATTTACGTTTATTGATGATCATGATAAAGACCAGGGAGCTCTGATTCGTGTCAAGGCAAAAGAATTGACCTCCTTGCTTTTAAATGACGAGAGGTTGATGGAGGAGAGAAGACTAGCCAAGGAAAGGAACGGCCATGGCAGGAGAAAACGCAGACAACGCGAAGACGGTGAAGAGGAGGAGTACGATGATGATCTTCAAAAAGCTTTGGAACAAAGCAGATTAACGGCAGAAGAGGAGGAGAGGAGAAGAAGAATGAACGGCTCTGACGAGAGTCTTCAAAGAGCTCTACAGCTGAGTCTAGAGGAAGAGGAGATGAGAAAGAAAGCTAACCAAGGCAACCTTCTGGATCTTGATGATGAGCCCCAGTATGCTCTGGGCCAAATCATTGGATATGACATGTTTGGTAACCCGATCTATGAAAACCAGGCCATGAACACTGGATATCTACAGAACGCATATTCCACCGGGTACCAGGACTATGCTGCCCAGCAAGCAGCGCAGCAGCAGGCTCAACAGCAAGCCCTGCTACTACAACAACAGCAACAGCAGCAGCAGTATTTGCAAGAGCAGGCAGCTTTGCAGCAGCAACAGCAGTACCAGCAGTACCTGCTCCAACAGCAGCAATTGGCGGCTCAGCAACAGGCATATCTCCAGCAGCAGCAGCAACAACAACAGCAGCTGGCAATGCAGACTGGTTCGAATAATCCCTTTGCATTTGGATCTGGGCAACAGCCTCAATCCCCACCACAGCAGCAGCAGTCTCAGCAGCAACCACAACCAGTGAAGCAGACTTTGACAGGAAACCAGAAGATGAACGAGAAATTTTCTGGTCTCAATGCATTATTGGCGACTGGAACTGGAATTGATACCTTTGGTAACGAAGGAAGTACCAGAATTCCGGCACAACACACCAAAACGGGGACTTTCATCAACTCCTCGGGAACCGGGTTCAAGCAGGAAACTGGTCAGAACAATCCATTCTTTGGAACCCAGTATACTGGTGTTGCTAGCACAGGTGTCATTCCATCCTACACTGGATACGGATTTGGAAACTCCCAACAGCCCCAACAGCAGCGTCAGAATGGCAACTCTGAGAGTTTGATAGATTTGTAGACCTTCGATTTCTTCACTTGTTTGTTTCATATGTCTCTTTTTCTATTTTCAAAAGCAATTGTCTGTACTATAATCGCGGAAGTGTAGAAGAATAGGCCAATATGCATAGAAACTCTTTATGCGTTTAGTAGGCGCATATACACTGCGTCTTTCGTCTGCCTCCTTCACAGGCTTATCCTAATACCATTTAAACGGTACTTCATGTCTTTCAAAACCTTCGATTCCGGGTTCCACGAGTCAAACTCGTCAAACATAAGATCAACCTGTTCTTTTCCCGAAGGCAGACGTTTTGTCGCCTCAAAAATCAGACCACGCATACACCATGGAAGATGGAACGGGTTGGCTCCCAACTGTTTGATATCAAAACCCTTGAAATGAACAGGTTGTGGGTTTGAGTTTTGGGCGTTCAGATCGTTTGTGGAGAGAAAAAACTCCAGACCCAGGTCGTACACTTGAATATCATTGTATATCCGGGAGTGGCCCCCGCCTGTCAAAGGACCAGCCAGGAACTTGCTGATTTCCTTGATTACTCCATGGTCTGAAAATCCCAGATTCATCAGAGAACATGACATGGAGACTATTCTTGAGACAAAGGCCGGAGTGTTGGAAGTGCCGTCGATATATACTGCCCTGTAGATGTTTGGATGGATCACATGAGACGCGATTGCAGAATATAACGGAACCAGCTGGTCGTCAATGGAGCCCACAAAAAGAACCTTGACATTATTGTTTATTATGATCCTCAACGACTCGACATATTTCCTGGACAACAAAGAATCAAAGTGTTGGAACTCAAAAAGTTCCAGCATTGACTCGTTTTCAATGGTTGAATACGCTCTCACAAAGAACTTCTGGTCTATACCAAAATAAGGACCATTATTGACCCCAGCCATTGCCAATATTCCAGCCCTTTGGTTTTCGGTTATGAATCCATATTCTATGAGTTTGGACATCAGCAATATGGAAACAGGACATCCCTGGGAATGGGCCGTGACGAAGATGAAATCTGCCTGTTTGATTTCATTCTGCCATTTGGCCATCAGCTCGAAGAAAAAATCGACCCTGTCCATTACTTTTCCCTCCTTTTCCAGAGCAATTTTCTGGATCGCAACCTCCATGTTCTGCTCTTTAGCCCATTTGAGAACGGCCTTCTCAGCCTCACGTGCAAACCGTATGGAAGTTCCAGTGGGCTCTCCAAGAAGAGGTCGTAGCAATTTGTTTGGGAAAAATCCATGAATTCCCACTATAAGAACTCTCTTTACGGTGGTAGGCCGGATTCTGGAGAGATGTAGAGGCTCGTAAGCAGCACCACCCATTCGCCTGTAGTACTTCTGGTAGGCGTTGTACACAGAAGACGCGAAGGACTCTGTCGGCAAACACTGCTCTATCTTCGGAACCACTTTATTCAAGTTCGGCTTCTGATCGGAAACTTCCTCCGACTGAACCGATTGCGCCTTTCTGGTTGCTGGCTCAAACAACACGGCGTCTTCCGTTATTATGGTATTCGAAGGACCAATGATCTCCTTCGGTTTATCCTGTACTTCGTTCGCACTTCCATTAGCGCCACCTCCCAAACTCCATATCGACCAGCTGCGGTTTCCGTTGGGCTCCTGTGCAGGTTCATTCCCAGATGGCGATGATGGGTCGATCAACAAGTCCTTTAGAGAGGCAGAAGACGCAGATCTGGGCCACGGTAACCAACTGCGCTGAGCAGTTTCCCCCGTTTTCAATGAAGTTTCTGCTTCTAGGCCTTTGCTGGTAGCATTTTTGGCCGGGCCGCTGGAGGCAGCCGTATCAGAATCGTCTTTTTGTGTAGTTGTGTCTAAAGGGAGGTCTGTGTGATCGCCAGATTGTGAATTTGCAGTGCTAATTGACCCCGGAGCGGTCTGCCAAAATGCCCATGAGCTCGACCGAGTCGTCTTGTCTGTTTGAGTTATCTCGAATCCCATCGGTATGTCCCCAGCCGAAGAGCGAGAGCGCACGGATGCTGAGGAAGCAGTCACTGGCTGTGCAGTAGTAGCTGTATGCGATGTTGGAGTTGAGGCGTCATCATTATTTTTTTTCAGGTACATTCTTGCCAGATAGGGCCTTATTTTCTTATTGAGCCGGCTTCGTATAGGCACCTTTGGCATAACTCGTGATAACAAAGGCGGTGTTGTGCAGTAGAGAGATAGAAGGCAAACGTCAGAGATAAGCCAGACCTGCGGGGTTGCACTAAAGAAATTGGCAGATCCAAAAATGGGTAATTTGAGAGGGCTCACAAAAGGATAATGGAATTTTTATTGGGCTTCATGTCTGGTCATAATGTTCCTGTTGAATTTCAGAGGTCTTACGGGTTTCTGGATTGATTTTGGCCGTTGGGTGTATGCTTAGTTTTCTTATCTTTTGACAAATTTCCAGAAAAGTCCCGGATGAGGCATATTCCAATTGACACAGAAAAAACTCATGAACTCCACCCAATTGACACGAAACCTTTTGATATTTTGTCAGAATTCACAAATATAATCTTAACAAAGAAAAGTCCTATCATATAACCATTATATATATTCAGACTCTCAGGCTAGTCAGCCTTAGCAAAGAGTCGTGGATAGACTCCAATGTGAGCCACGGTGCTGATTACGCGTGTCTTGTATTATTCATCTACGGTGAGCACTTCTCTTTCTTCTTCTTTTTCATGAAGCGATTGCACTTTCCTAATCACGTGTTGAAGTTGAATCTGCGGCCAATTATGTCTATCTCACAAGAAAAAAAAAGATCTATATCGATAAGTGCGAAAAGAACCGTGGATATAGCAGACTTCTTTGGGAAAGCTCAAACGAAGACGCAGAAACGCGAAGTCCATGGAGAGAGCGTGAAAAACGGTGAAAAAACAGAAAGGGCCGAGGAGAAAAAAGGGCAACCCCAAGAGTCAATTGGATCAGCCTCACAGATCTCACAAATCCGATTTGACAAAGATGCTTGGGTGAATGGGCTCAGCCCGGAGATCAGAGATCTTCTCACATTGGAGATAGAGACTATGGACTCCTCTTGGCTCTCAGTACTCTATAAAGAGCTAACGAAGCCTTATTTTCTAGAACTAAAAAGGTTTCTGAAAAAAGAGTTTTCGTCATCCCAAGTGTTCCCGCCTCAAAAAGACATCTATTCGTGGACGCGATTGACACCTCTTCATGAAGTCAAGGTACTCATCCTGGGCCAAGACCCCTATCACAACGTTGGCCAGGCGCACGGATTGGCATTTTCGGTGAAAGATCCCAAATTGGCAATTCCTCCATCTCTCAGGAACATGTACAAATGTCTCAAGACTGATTATCCAAATTTCGAGATTCCAAAAACGGCCGATCTCACCAAATGGACAAAACAAGGTGTGTTACTTTTGAACACCTGCCTTACTGTGAAAGCCCATCAGGCCAACTCTCATGCCAACCGGGGATGGGAATTGTTCACAAGTGCGGCTATCAATGCCCTGATACGAAACAGCGACTCTTTAAACCGAGGGATCGTGGTTCTGGCTTGGGGGATGCCTGCCCAAAAAACAATTTCCAAGATCAAGATTGATACTAATAGCCATTTGATTTTGCGCACAGTCCATCCAAGTCCATTGAGTGCCAGTAGGGGCTATTTTGATTGCAAGCACTATAAGAAGTGCAATGAATGGTTGAAGGTGAATAGGGGAAATACCATAGATTGGGCCATAGTCGATGGAAATTCTGTGGAATAGAGGCCATATCTATGGCATATTGCCTTTATTCCTGCTTATGAAACTACGTAACTGCCTAAACTCAATTTATATCTCTTAGTAACTCTGAGATAAATTTCCAAGCCGCATGCACGTCTTAATGCGGCGTAAAATCAGTCAACGCACATAATTACCTGCCCCCTGTCTACGTAACATGCCACACCAACTGCTCAGACAAGCTGGCCTCTCCACTTTTTATGCCATACCACCCAGTCTATCTGGTAACAAACAAGCCGTCGAGAATCCAAGACCGTCTCAAGTGACTAAATTGTACAAAATTGTCGTGCTTTACAATTTTGCTGTTTTCTCTCGTGAGCCCATTGGTCGACTTTACCACCTGACAACTTCAGCTCAAAGGTAGCTAACCCAGAGTTGCTTCAGGCCAACCTTAACAAGGTGACTATCATTTTTTTGTTGTCGAGATAATACCTTTGCAATGGTTTCTATAAGATCTGTGACTGCCGTGCTGGTGTCGGCTCTGTTTGCACAATGTGCTCTAGGTGCCGATACTAAGGCTGCTGATGTGGGGCCTTTCCAGCCGACAATTCATACCAGTGATTTCGGCGAAATACCCTCTGACTTATTTTATTTCGACGATTCTGCAGTGGTGATGACAATTGTCAACGAAACGGTGTACCGTTCGGATGATGACGGCAAAACATGGAAATCTTTGAATGACGATCTGAACAGTGCGCTGGGAACCAAGGAGACCCAAACGTTTGTTTCGATGGAATATCCGAGATTGACTAGCAATCGTGTGATCGTTTTCACTGAGGGACTATCTCACTTGATATCAGACGACAAAGGTCAGTCGTGGAGGCGTTTTGATATGCCGGATGTGAACGATCTAGCCTATGCTGACGTGAGATATAACCATGTCAACGAGGATATGATGTTGATATCGAACTTGTATTGTAACGCTGAGGGAAGTTGCAATGACACTTGGTTTTATACCACGGATGGACTGAGAACGCACCCGGTTCCCCTCCCTATAGATGACATCCGTGAATGTCGTTTCGCCAAATCTAGTGCGACTTTTAGTGCTGGTCCGGATTCGAGGATTCTCTGTATCCAGGTAACGGAAGATGGGTCTGGATCACGTTTGATTTCAACCGATGATTTCTTCACTACGATTGAGGAGTGTAAGGACTCCATGAACTCTTTGAATTCTGGAGAAATCGTGGAACTCGTCGTCATACAATCGTTCATAGTCGCCATTGTCGAAGAAGATAAGTATGCTTGGTTTTCGAATGTCCACTTTTTCGTTTCCAAAGATGGTTCCCAGTTCCAGAAGGTGGATTTCGGATCAAATCTCAACAAGCAGATGTACAGTTTCCTGGACTCGACGCCTTATTCGTTGAACGTTGTTCTTTACGGATTCAAAAACTCGATGGACATTCAACCGGTCGCTGAGATTTACCAGTCTGACTCTTCTGGAGTGCATTATACCAAAATTCAGGACAATGTAATGTCGGGCACGTTTGGATTCACAGCTGCTAACAAGGTGAGTACCATTGACGGTGCTTGGATCATCAATAAGATCGATTCGGCGAAGGGCGCCGATATTTCCTTCAAGACATTGGTGACCATCGATAACGGTAGAACCTGGAATCCGCCTATCCTTGAGGATGACGCCGATTGTAAGGGAGATGACGCGTGCAGTCTCAACATCATTTCTGTGGGTGCCAGTGGTTCTACCAAAATGACTACAGGACCAACACCTGGTATTGTCATGGGGGTTGGCAGGAAAGGCAGTGGTGCCTCGAATGATCTCAAAGATTTGGACACTTACGTATCCAGAGATGGTGGTATTACTTGGAGATTTGCGTTCAAAGGTATTTCAATATTCAGTTTTGGTGATCAGGGAAACATCATTATTGCCTTGAGAATGGATCTCGGTTTCATATTTGATGCACCAATGGTGTATCAAGATACTGTTCTGTATTCTACAGACCAAGGATTGACATGGTCTGAAGCAAAACTGGACAAACCTATTCTGCCTCTCGCAATCACCACCACGATTGATGGTTCTTCCAAGAACTTCCTGATTGTTGGACAGAAAGAGGCCAAGAAAGATTCTCAAGACGAAATCATTTACTATTCGTTAGACTTCTCAGATGCTTTCGATAGAACCTGTGGAGCTAAAGATTTTGAAGAGTGGTACTCAAGAGTTGATTCTAAGACCAAAGAGCCTGTTTGCGTTTTTGGCCACGTTGAGAAGTTCAACAGGAGAAAGCAAGACGCCAACTGTTTCGTCAACACTCTTTACAAAGACGTCGAGGCCATTGAGGTACCATGCATCTGTACCGAAGACGACTTTGAATGTGCTCTGGGATTTGCTAAGAACGAGAAGGGTTCTTGCGAGCCTGTAATGACAGTGATCACAGAGAACTTCTGTTCAAATCCAAAGAAAACTATCAAGTTGACTTCCAAGGTGAAAGCTCCTGGAAACCTCTGTCAGGAGAAAAATGGGTTCAAGCCTCCGGCAAATGATTTTTCAATCAGTTGTTCTGACGCCATTGCAAAGTCGAAACTCAAAAACATCCAGACTACTGCTTCCATGTTTTCTGAAAAGATCGTCAATTATTTCTACTTGGAGACCCAGAAATCAGACCAAGTTTTGGACGAAACTATACTCCTGAGTACCGCTGGTAGAAGGTTGTACGTTTCGTACAATGGTGGTATCACCTTTGACATGGTTGATTCCTTGAAAGATGCAGATGGAAAGATTGTTGCTATTTACACCAATCCTTACTATCGCGAAAGTGTGTACGTGATAACATCAGATTCAAAGATATACTACTCCGAAGACAGTGCCTTGACATTTTCGGTTGTGGATGCACCTACAAAGTTGAACGAATTTGGTCTGAGACAGATCACTTTCAATAAGGCAGATCCAAAGTCTTTCATATGGTACGGAGAAAAAGGCTGCAAATCTTACTTCAGCCAGGACTGTCATGTGGAAGCATCATACACACAGGATGGTGGTAAAACGTTCAAGCCTTTGATTGAGGATGTGAGAATGTGCAATTTCGTGGGTTCTACGCTGGACATAGACCAGTTCACGATCAACCCGAATCTGATCTTCTGCGAAAAATTCAGCAAGACAAGCCAATTCTTCCAGCTTGTTTCAACGACAGATTTTTTCGAAAAAACGAATGATGTCCTCTTTGAGAGAATAATTGGATCTGCTGATACCGGTGAGTTTATCGTCGTTGCCCAAGTCAACGACGACCAGACTCTGAGTGCTTTTGTGACTGTGGATGGTTTAGTCTTTGCCCCAGCCGAATTCCCTGCAAACTTCAAGGTTGATAAGCAACAGGCATACACGGTGATGGATGTTTCCTCGAAGTCGATATTTCTGCATGTCACGACGTTCTCTGAGATTGACAAACAATTCGGTACGATTCTGAAGTCCAACTACAACGGAACATCCTACATTGTGTCATTACCAGATGCTAACAGAGACAACAAAGGATACGTGGATTTCGAAAAGGTTGAAACACTGGAGGGAATCTCTGTTGTGAATGTAGTAGCCAATGCTGATAAGGTAAGGGAGAACCACGAGTCGAAGAAGTTGAAGACGAAAATCACTCACAACGATGGCGCTGAGTGGTCTTTTGTGCAGCCACCTGCAGTTGATTCTGAAGGCAATACTTACAAATGCAAAGGAAAGTCCCTCAAAGATTGTTCTTTGAATTTTCATGGTTACACCGAGAGGAAGGACGTTCGTGATACGTATTCGTCGGGTTCTGCTGTTGGAATGATGATAGCAACGGGAAATGTTGGAGAATACCTTTTGCCTGCCTCTGAAAGTAACACTTTCTTCACTCAAGACGCTGGTGTCACTTGGAAAGAAGTGAAGAAGGGGGCGTACACCTGGGAGTTTGGCGACCAAGGCTCAATTATTGTTTTGGTGAAACCAGAAAAGAACCAGAAGACGCTTTGGTTCTCTCTTGATCAGGCCCAAACTTGGGAAGAGTACGAATTCTCGAAAGACCCCGTTTCAGTTGTTGATCTGGGAACCGTCCCTTCGGATACGTCGCGTAAATTTGTCATTCTTGCAGAAGATGCTGACTCCCAAAACATGTTATTCACGGTTGATTTCACAAGGGTGCACAACAGGCAGTGTAGCTTGGACTTGAAGTCTCCAACTGGGCCAAAAAGCGATTTTGAGTATTGGTCTCCAAAACATCCATTTTTGGCAGACAACTGTCTTTTCGGTCACGAATCCGAATATTTGAGAAAGAAACCGAAAAGCAGCGATTGCTTCATTGGAATGGCACCTTTGAATGAAGCGTTCAAGGTATTGAGAAACTGCTCCTGCTCCAGAAGAGATTACGAATGTGACTACAACTATGCTATGGCTGAAGATGGAACGTGTAAGCTCATCTCGGGGTTGTCACCATTGGATCCCGTACGCATCTGCACCGCTGACCCAGATCTACTTGGGTACTGGGAACCTACTGGGTATAGGAAGGTTCCTCTTTCGACCTGTGAGAGTGGTCTTCAACTCGACAAATGGACCGAACATCCATGTCCAGGCAAGAAGAATGATTTCAATAAAAAGCACGGATCTGGAATCACCGGGTTTGGACTGTTTGCTGTTATTTTTGTGCCCATTGCTGTGTTCTTGGCTGCAACATGGTTCGTCTACGACAGAGGCATCAGACGCAACGGAGGATTTTCAAGATTTGGAGAAATCAGACTTGATGAAGACGATGAACTCCATCTCATTGAAGAGAACAACACGGACATTGTTGTGAATAATATTGTGAGAGGGTTATTTGCTGCTGTTGGCAATCTTGTCCAGACTACGGGTGTGATCCGCAACTTCCTTAGAACCCAGGTGTTTAGATTGGGCGCAAATTCTTCCAGAGGGTACACCAGATTCGGTGCAGACTCATTTTTCTCGCACGAAGACGAAGACGAGTCTCTATTTAGATACGCCACTGATGATGACGATGCGCGTGAAATTGACAATTTCCTGGACGAAGGGTTCGATGCTGGTGATGAGGATGATATGAGGCTAGGAGGGCCCTATGATGGGGCCGAAGACGGTTCGTCACCCGCTTCGCCGGATGATTTCAACGTAGATGATGAAGAAGATGATGGCGATCTGGGATCTTCCAGGAATTAGAAATCAAGGAACGGAAAATAAATAGTCAAGATATTCGAGTTCAACTGTTCATCGTAGCGGGCCTATCGATTAGATAAGGGGTCATCTCAAAATTGCCTCTTTGGGAAGTTGTTTCCCCAAGGGTTTGAAAAATCGTCAAAACAGATGCATCCACCATCAGGCTCGTTTGATCAAAAACGCATCGGGAAAGTCGACTGGGTCTAGATATGCTGATGGAGGAATTGATTGATAATGGATCTCTAGGCAATATTCGCAAGAGCAGGAGAGCACCCAAGAGCTGTATCCAATGCTACAAGAGGAAGGTAAAGTGCAATAAGAATACCCCGTGTGATGTTTGTATCAGAAAGGGAACCGCGCATGTATGTGCCCGTGAACCTGTAATGGTGGGAGGAATTTTGATGAACGAGAGCTCATTGCCAATTAGCGACGGATCTACAGAGAGAATACCTGAATCTGTGTACGAGAAGGAGATCGAGTGTCTGAAGAGAAAGGTAACCGACCTGGAAGAGCTGGTGACAAGATTGTCCAGAGACAAAGAGGGAGTAGGGACCAACACTAAAGGTAGTGAGAACCGTCATACAGATCCTGTTAAGCGGGCTGATCGAGATCTTTATTCTGTGACTGTTAACATGCTAACTAGAGGACTGGTCAGAGGCTCATATGATGACGAAGCGTTGGAATTCAAAAGAGACGAATGGATATACGAACACGATAAGATTATTAGGTTCACTGACAACTCTGCTAAGCCAATCAAATTTCCTGATAATGTTGATGTGGTGACGAAACCGTTCAGCGAGATCTGGAACTATTGGTTGAGGTTAGTCCAGTACCTGACCAAAGAACAGAGCTATGTATTGATATCCTTCAGCCTTGCGAGATTATCGGTTTTAGCCGGGGTAATTGATACAGATGCATTCTGGGAAGAACATGATCGTTTTTGGAATACCTCTGGGCCCAAACACCTTCTTTTTGAATACGATAGGAGTACCGACCAGTACATATGGATGTCACTGTGGTACGCATTGTTATGTGCGGGAATATACCATGGAGATGAATCTCTACAACAAACCCTCGGACTGGACGATGACATGATGGATAAATTCCCCAGAATATTTCTCGGAAGTTCACTGGAGTGTCTGTACCGCGGTCGGTTCATGACATTTCCTAAGGTCACTTCCGTTCAGACCATCATAGTGATGCATCTATGTGGCCATGCTTTTGGCGGATCTCACCTAATGAACTGTCTTCTATCTACTGCTATTAATCTTGCTCGGTTCCATAACATGGACACAATTGAGAAATCGGGAGACGATCTGGAAATTGGAAAAAAAATTTGGTGGAATCTGGTGAGCTTAGATTGGAGTGATACCCACGGAAGACATGCAATAATACCGAAAGGCTCGTTTACCACTGGGCTTCCTAATGCGTACCGAAACGGCAAAATGACTGTGGATTGTCACTATCTGCTTTTCCGGGCGACGGCTGCCCAAATCAAGCGAAACTACTACTTCGAGGACAAAGTTGAAAGGACCACTCTCAACCTGGAGATGTTAAAACAGGCCGATTTAGAACTAAAACTACTGGCGATGAGGACAGAAATAGATTTCAGAGACAAGCTGCCACAGAACAGCGAATCTGAACTGGTGCAATATCTCATACGATGTACGATATCATGTGAGATTCTGGAGGTGAATAGGATGATGTCTACGTTCATGACCAATGAAGAATGGTCGTTGAAATGTTCGCCTGAATGTCTCAGATATGCCATGGACATCGTCAGACTTTACACAGACGAAGAGGTTCCTTTCAGATTCAAGAAGATGTCAATTGTGCCCGAGAATGTCATCAATGCTTCTGTGTTTATAATGGTAGACAGCTTGATGAGACCATTGAAGGACAAACAGTTCAGGAACTGCGTGGAGTTAATCCAGCGGGTCATGGGAATTCTTGGATCCTACAAGCAGGCAATGAGACCGGCCATACGTGGTATCTTCGTCCTGGGTCGTTTGCTCGAGCTCATGAGAAGACGACAAGGCGACAACGCAGGCTTCAGTTTCAACGACGTGGGGCTCGATAAGCACCTTGAGTCGATCAGATCCTTGCCGCTGCCGTTCGGAAACCACGTGATTCCGCTAGTACCCGAGCCCACAGTTGAAGATGGCCCCGACGGTTATGCCAACGCGATTCTGGACACTTTGGACGACCAGGACTGGAAGGCCTTTCTCAACTCCGTCGACGACCTCGTCATGACGTACGATATTGGCTTAGCGAGGGACATGACGTCATAGCTTTACGTACACCAGTTTAATAAATACACTACCAATCACGGCTATTTTTTTCCTTTGCTAATCTGTTTCTCGGTTGGATGTCCCATTCCAGAGACCTCACACAAAGAGGACTTTTCTTGTACGCCATCTTGAGATTTCAGCCGAGGCTATCGTCACTGTGGAACGCCACTGCAATTTCTCGTTGAATAGACGTGCAACAGCCAGGCCGACTCGAGTATAGTGCGGTGAGGCAACCACGCCCGGAAGAGCTGAGAACAAGGGTCTTCGAAGGCCCTGCTGGTGAGCGAGCGGCTCCGTTGCAACAAAAAAAAGGTTTCTTGTAGTGTTTTCGAGGAAAGGTTTGTGAATCAATTTGTGAAGCAGATAATCGTTTGATTATTGCTGAAATCTCGCAGAAGAGTTGCCCTAAGAACCGACCAGGAGGTGGAGATCGTCAACACAATACACACCATGGAAGAGACCCGGAAACCCAAACCGATCCTCACGCCTCACGACGATTTCAAGACCAACGGGTTTTGGAATGAGCCCATGCGTCAATGCAGTAGCATTTCGTTCCAGGTTTCGGACACCAAACATCGTGGGTCCCTGAGCACGGACCCATCGCAGATCGACCTCTCCAACACCAAGGCAGCAGCTATGATGATGCCAATACCTTCTGTTCGGCCCGTTGACCCGATGTTGCCTTTTACCCAATATCTGCAGAAGAAGGACGACGACAAGTTGCACATTTTGATCGGAGCCACTGGTTCTGTGGCTACGATAAAAATTCCCCAGATGATCGATAAGATCTTCCAGGTTTACGGCCACGACAAAGTGAGTGTGCAACTGGTGTTGACACCGATGGCGGAATTCTTCATCCGGGGGTTGAGAATCCCGAAGAATGTCAAGGTCTGGCGTGAGGTGGAGGAATGGTCTAGTCCTATGACCAAACCAGGTGACCCTATACTACACGTGGAATTGAGAAAATGGGCTGATATTTTCCTTGTGGCCCCGTTATCGGCCAATACACTTGCTAAGATGGCCAATGGTCTTTGCGACAACCTGCTAACGTCTCTAATAAGGGCCTGGAACCCGGTGGCCCCGATCCTGGTGGCTCCTGCTATGAACACTTTCATGTATACGAACCCGATGACTGCCAAACACCTGCAGATTTTGAAGGACGAGTTCAAGCACGTGACTGTACTGAAGCCGGTAGAGAAGGTACTTGTCTGCGGCGATATTGGAATGGGTGGAATGAGAGAATGGTCGGATATCGTGGATATCCTGGTTGATAGGTTGGCCGAGATGAAAGCTAAGGAGGGGGAGAAGAGAGAAGATAGTGATTGAGGAAACTGCCAGCGAAGTGTATTTTTTTCGGCATTTTTGTAACACCACATTTAGTACGAATTACGAGTAAAAGCATATTATAAGGAATTTGAAAATAAGGACAAGATGGAAATTTACGTTCATTCGTAGATCTGCATATCGTGTGGAACGGGACAGGGTAGTGTACCCAGGCGAAAAGCTAGTTTGGGGTCGTGTTCCGGCAACTCCTCAATCACTTGAACTTCTCGTCCAGAACGTGTTCATTAACCTTCAGCAAATCCAAACTATCTACCATCCATACAATCATGAAGTTCTTGGTGCCTTTTCTGCTACTAGTTCAGATAGCATCGTGTGCTATTACGGGATCGATTTCCAGTCCGGAATCGTATTACGAGCTGGGTGACACCATCGTCTTGAACTCTACACTGAGTTTCAACTTTCAGCTGGACTCCGAATACAAACACGTTGCTGTTGTCTTCTCGACAAAAGGAGAATCTGATGACGTGACTTTTACACAGTATCCTACAGGCTCGAGTACAGGAGCATACAAATTGAGAATTGCATTGTCCAAGTTCCCCGCATACTTCAGATCCAAGGACGAGATCAAGGCCGAATTGATAGTTGGCGATATTCAGGAGATTCGCGAGATTGCCACTCTGAGACCTGCAACGAAGATAGCGCCACCAGAGGTCGTGAGGTTTGGCAAGAAAGCCGAAATTCACCACATCTTCAGAGGAGACGCGAAGCAGGTTTCGCCCGTTGTATCCCAGATCTTCATTGCATTGACGTTAGCGCTCACAGCTGGCGTGATTGGCGTTTGGTTCAAATTTGGGGCTGTGAATTTCGAGCTGGGGGCCAACAGGTATTTGGTCGGGTTGTTGGTGACGATTGCAGCGTTCGAAGGTTCGTTCCTGAGTTACTTCATCAAATCCACGATTTTCACAACTATACAAACGTGGGTAGTGATTGCACCTATCGGCTTGTATTTCGGTGTCAAATCATTGCGGATTTTGGCCAAATATCGGAGTGAAGGTAAGAGGTGAAGAGACAGTCCTTGCGAGGCGAATAGAAGATGGCAAACGGGATTCTGCAGCTCATTGAAAGCAGCCTAAATAGAAGCATTCGCTCTTCCAAAAAAGAGCTAATTATTTCATGAGGATATTTCATTAAACCACATAGAGCCACTAAATGAGTGTTTATTTGTCAACAAATAGTGTTCATTAATCCACAGAACCGACCAGAAACTTTCGCCCGGAAAGTCTTCATTCCTTCATTCCCAAGAGTTGACCTTTTGATATACACAAAAGAGTTTAACTCTCTTGCTCTCCTTCTTCGTTTACTCTTTGACAAACGCATTTTCAATCCACCGGAACCCCCACAAACTGCGCCAGCTTCCGTTGAAATCGTTCGCGGCCACAATTTTACCCTTTATCAAACCCAAAGGTATTACCGAATACGATCGCGAATCAAGACTGTGTGACAGATTATCACCGGTTACCCAGCAATGGCCTTCTGGGACCACCATGTACTTGGACTCGAAGCGTCCATGTGTAGATCCATTGGACGGATCGATTATGATCACATCTCCGGGCATTCCTGTGATACGCTTGCACACACGCTGATGGGGATCGATAGGCTTCAGAGCCACTATAACGTCACCATTTTTAACCCCATTACCGTTCTGGTATGTCTTCAACGTATGCACGTAGTCAAAGCTGGTATTGAGCGTTGTCAGCATGGACTCGCCGCGCGACTCTTTCAGCTCATACACGTTTGAGTGGACATAGTGGATTGCGCAACCAGTTTTGAGGATCCAAGATGCCAGGGTGCGCATGTATATTAAGGTTTCACTCATGGGCGGTGCTGTTTGAGTGGGGTCTGGGTAATTGTTGAAAGGTGACTTAGATATCACAGACATTACATAGTACTAGCGTGCCTTTACCGAAACAAATATTGGTTGATACACTAAATTAACTTTTTATATTGGGGTTGGACTCTTTTGAAAAGAATGAAAGTGTAAAAAAAGGATTGTGTTGGATTTTTTGACAAAATTTAGCCAAAAAACACCACAAGGAATACTTATTTAGATTTCTGCTGGATGCTGCATCCCTGTCAGCGCGTTTCCATCGACGTAAGAAGGAGCTCAAGCTCGAGTCACGATCACGATTTTCTCGCAACTCATTTCCTTCAAAATCAGCACCTCCTAATCAGACTAACCATGAAACATCCCGATTTGAGGCTCTTATCCAGTTTGTTTCCTTCAAACCAGCTTGAAAACTCCCCGAATAGAAAACCTTAAAGCACCAGAACCAGAATCGAGCCATTTTTGGTCACACGCTGCATTTCCCCTTCAGGCCGGATCAGCCTCATTGCGCAAAACTCATGCAGCCAGTCGCGAAAGTAATGGAGCAAATAAAGTCTGCGCAAAATTCGGATATTTGCATGACAGAACAGCATCTATTTTTGGTTACGTCTCAAGACCAGAAACATGGACCGTTTGGCCTGTAACAGTCTTATTGAACTCATATTACGTTTTACGTATTATGCATTGTCCCGATTCTATAGTATTTTTAGCAGCGCGTAAGCAATGCTTCCATGGTTTGTTGAACCGGTAATTCCTATTACCCGATTTGGGGCTTCTGGCGTGCAACGCTGCCTCGATGTCGATTGCGATGCCCACTCCACACAATCAGCCGAACCACGCTTAACCTTGGAATGGATTGGTGAAAAAACTTTTTGTTAAGCAGTTGACCTGCAATTTTGAAGGTGCTGGACGGTGAATGGCCGTCCATAGTCCATAGCACACATCATCCAAAAATGGTACACGAGTAATAATGATCCAAATATAACTCCTACGAGGCATTAAACAGGTATTAACTCGTTGCATGGGTGCGCGTAATTGGCGGTATGGGCCACAACGGGATTCTAATAATAAGCGGAATTTTTTCTGCTGCATACCAAGACGGGCCTGTCTTACCAGGATGGAAACGCTACTGAAGGAGTAAAAACAGCTATGAAGCTTCGGTTATATTGGTCGAACACGGTTTTATGCATGTTAAACGCCTCAAAGGTTCTGAAATATTGTAACTACCGCGTCTGGGGAAAGTATATTTTAGAAGGCAGAAGTGCCAGGCGAGCTTTAAGCCTAACTTGGAGACCAGAAAGAGCTGCACCAGCAGAAGCCGTACTATCTATTGTGATCTTGGTTTGCCTTTTGGACCTATGTGAGATGATAAAGGCAGGAAAGAGACATCTTTTTAAGCGAAAATGTAATTGGAAGCATGTAAAGTGGAGTAGATCTGGCGTAAACAGCGGCAAAATGGTCTTACCATGGTATGACGTAACACACAGACAAATGCACTAAAAATTGGGGCTCTAAAACTCGACCAATTTCAGGAGAAATTTCAAACAAGAGTATCTGCTGGAAACTGAAATATGCCACTGCGATTGACATCAAATAATCCAGTGCCTCAAGGTAAAACCGAGGCACGAATTAAGCACACAACGTATCGGCAACGAATGACGGAGAAGTTACTGCTATAAAGGGTGAATGCGAAGCCGTATTCCTCTACACCACCTCAATGATATCTGATGATGGTGCATACTCCCCAACAAAAGAGCCAAAAAACGGTTTATAGTACAAGTAATACATGCTAGAAGGAAGTTGAAACATAAGGCATTAGCGGTGACGGATTCGATTAGTATTCAGTTCATGATATATAGCGACTGGAAAGGATGCGACATTACATGCTTCTAGCATTCAATGGAAAGAGCATTAGAGGAATTGAAGAAGGAGCTGCTGTAGAGGCTTTCATGGGTTTTTTGTTAGGATTCTGGCCTATAGCACTCAATATTGAAAACTCGAAGTATTCCTTGAGTCATTAGGGTAGCTGGACATTAATTTGGTTGAGTTTGAATAGATAAGCAAACAGCCAATTAGTGACCCAATCTATTCAGAAGCTCCACCAATAAACTCTTCTCATTCTGGACAATTAGCTGGCCAAACTCGACCGAGGTCTCGTAGTTCAAGATCTCAGCCAGTTCCGGGAACTTTGCATCCACACCCATAGAATTGATAGGGGTAACACTTATCGAACAAGATTCTGACAGTGATCTGTCTGATGGAAGATCTGCAAAAGCTTTGTAGTCATTCCACTCGTTGATCTGGTAAACACCTGATATCTGGAGCTTTCCATCGATGTACTCTGCTGTTGGAGTCAAAGAATAAGAACCAACAGATCTCGAGTGAACAAAGGTTGGATCACGACACCGCATTTGCGATTGTGACCCACACATGGGGAAGTTCACACTTAAGCCCATTCCTTCTGGCAAAAGTCTGGGCGTCGTATTTTGGGAATCAGCGCGATCATGCTCACAATCTTCCTCATGAAACTTTGAGCCACTCTGGTCAATGTATTTGGACTTGGAGGTGGTAAAAGATTGGTGAGTTCCATACATCGCCTTATCCAAACTGTGGTTCATGAGTTTATCCACCAACTGAACGGTTTTCTGTGCAACGATTTTCGCAGAAGAATCATTTTCTTTTCTTTGGAGAGCGGAAACGGTTTCCTCCTCACTGGAACCGTCATAGAAACGATGGATATCATCGAGTGTGCTTATGGCAATGGCAGGAATGTTTCTGAGCGAGCAAAATCTCATGGCGGCAAAGACACCCGATTGAAGCTGCTCCAGAGGTCCAATGGTGCTCCCCTCTTTGGGCCCAGCAACAACGAGGTCGATAGAAACGTTGTTGTAGTGATGTGGAATGATATGATCAAGACCAATCACCACAGAGCCTACTGTGGAAGCATCCACATACCAGATATCGTCATTCGAAGGATCACGGCCAAAGACTGCGTCTCCAGCCTTGACTGCATATCCAAACTCGGCATCATCGTCCGAGTCTAGAACGGGATTCTCGTTAACATACATGGCACCTGCCAAGGAGCTGACATCCGACAGCGGAGCCACCATGATCACCTTATGAAACTGGGAGAGTGTTTCGTGGAGAACGCGCACGTTTTCTGAAACCCACGAGTCTTCAGAGGTGAGGAGGATGTTGAGAGCTGTAATTGGGACAAGCGCAAACGCCAAAAGTAATAACGGGCAACGCATGGTGATATTTGGATGTATGGGTGAAGTAAGTGTGACTGATAATGAATATCAGAAACCTCAGGTAGTCGCGAGCAACTGCGATAAACCGATTGCAGTTGAGCTGATTGGAAATGACCAAAGTTATATTGATCTCTGAAAGAGCAAACGTGGATATGAGCTGTATAGCGACTCTGTCTTGTATGAGACTAAGTAACTTGGCAAATGTAAGCGAGTCTCGGTGATTTGCTATCCTTCTAAGAACTCAAATGTTTAGTATGAGCTGATAACTGAACTATTTTGAGTGGTGATATTGTAACTCTCTTGTATACAACCTCAGACGCCACAGGAGCAAAACACCATCTCTTTAAAGCTTTCGTGGAACTGTCACAACTTGCCGAAACGTCATATTTAGAGTACCGCACCCACGGGGCAGGCCATGTGGGACCGATTATATGAATCAGCGTCTTGTTGTGTGTAAAAAAATACCATATAGCCGTTCTATGTGGGTGAGTGGATAGCGTGCATGTGAAGAGTCTGCATGCAGGCGCACAAATTGACCGGCCACGTGCAGGCACTGTTAGCCGGAAACAGAGACGTGAGTGAAGAGCTCGGTAAAACTTCTATGTGGGATGGTTTCCGCACGCTCCCCACGTGCTGCTGGAAACATTATGGAGATAGATCGTTCACGGTGATAAACGTTTGTTGAAGAACGTGGTCACCATTTTCATAAAGCAATTATGACGGTTACTGCGATGAGCTATGTACAGTGCCGATCTCTGTGACTCAGGGGCGATCACCCCTTAGTTGGCGGTATTGGTTGTTGCGGTTTCCACACTTCAGGAAAGTGGTGGCACGTGGCTGGCCGACGTGGTTGGAATGTGTTGAAAATCTTGTTAGACCGATCAAAGCTGGTTTTGTAGAATGGGTTTGATGGAGATGGCTGAGCCGCAGTCAACGGCGGGCGGCTGTTTGGCTGGTTCGGATGCTGGTAGTGGGAATTCAGGTAAGCTTTTTAGGGTGATGAGTTTGACTGCGTAAACTTGTATAACCCGCAAAACCAGAAAACCCTGTTGCTAACCAGCATCACCAGCCTGGTATCGGAAATGGCTGTGTATTTGGCATTTCGCAGTTCACTTTGGCCGTTTTGGCTTCTCCATGGCACCTGTATGTATTTTTTTGTAGGTTCTAAGTATAGCCCGCTGGTGATGCATTGAACAATCCTAAAGCTACAGGAGGACCAAAAGAGCAGACCACCAACTACTCAAGGCTAGTAGCTGAAGGACCCATTCGGAGACCAAAATAGGATTTTCCTTAGAGATCAAAATAAAAATCTAATTTAGGCCTCTGGTGCCTTGATCATGTTCTAATAATCCTCTATTGTTAGCTAAATGCGCCCAGTATCTTCAGCCGCACGGCACAGCCTCCTTGACATCTAGACCAGCTACATCACCGTCTACTCCGCCCTATAACATTCAATATTTATCTCTAAGAATAGCCTGGAATCCTTCTCTATAAAAAACTGCATGCATACAATTCGCCTCCTTTCTTGCTCAGTATTATTTCTCAGTACTGTTGCAAGTCCTTGAACGTCATCTCGTACTTGATCCAGTTGCTCAGACAGTTCTGGTTGTCCAGCTCGGAGTTCGCAAAGTCGCCCTTCTTGCACCGACTGCAGCGTTCACTGTTGGGGCAGTTACTGTAGGGTGAGTGATGGTATCCGATATCGCGGAACCAATGCACCTTAGACTTGTCTTCAAAGAGACCCACGCCTATTGAATGAACAGGAGCATCACCCCAGCGCTCGTAATAGAACCCTCCATTCTTGTCAAGAGCATCAAACCATTTGGAGTAAGGTTCGTCACGGTAGAAGTCCATATTGGCAACCTCAAAATTAGACCAAAAATGACAGGTAGAATAACCGTTAGCCTGTTTGGTGATATCCGGATTCTGGTTGACATCTGTCAGCCATTTGAAAGCACCGTTTGGATTGACGCTGTGTGGATTAGCACGGATATAATCCAAGGTCACTGGCCACAAAGTCTCCACTGTTAGTGGGTCGTCGTACAACGAGATGGTAAAGCCATATGTCTTGTTGTTGTCCTCCATGAACTTGAAGATGTCGTAATCCACATGGCAGAAGTAGTTTGTAGCAGGCTCGAACCGCCAATACCACTTGAATTTCTTGAGTTCTTCCAAATGGTAAAAGAGCCCAGAGTTAAACCGGCACATGTTGTGATACGACTCCATGCCTGCATACTGCACCTTGTTGTCTTGTAACTTCGCCACACCTTGCTTTTGTTTTGTTGCATCAATATGCGCAGGCTTGGCCCACATGGCGCTTGGAATTACCGCAAAGTAGCACTCACCACTCGTGTGGCGTTTGACCGTCTGCTTGAATTCTTCCGTGAACTCTTCGTCGTTCATAAAAGTATAAGGGTAGTGGAATTGATGATTCCATGTCTCTTCGATCTGCCGAATGGTGAACACAATGTCTTCCAATTCCTTGTTTCTAACCAGAGTGAGAAGGGTGGCATTAGCAAGCTCATATTCCACGGAGTGCAACTGGTTGTATGTCAACTTAGCGGTCTTGGGTTCGTCTATCTTCTTGCCGTAAACCTCTTTGTAGAGCCCCATATTCTGCGAGACCAACTCGTCTGAAGTTCCATTATATTCCACATCAAAATTGAGGTGATTCATGACCTGGTCCACCGATAGTGCAACGTTTCTTGGTTTGCCCCAGAGCCCAATTTGGCGGTCCTGAAGGTAGTTATGTACCTTACCGTCACTAGCAGAGTGCCGAAACAATGCAAGCAGCACCAAACAGAGGAATAAACCTCCTAGCTTTTTGGTAGTGAGCATTGTGGAAAATGAGAAAAGACGTGAGTAAAATGTTAAAGAGGAGAAAGAACTATTAGATGAGAGTAAACGAAATTCCAGCGACGGCAACTCCCCATTAACTTAACCATTCTACCCAAACTGTTCCCGACACATTTAATTTCAGCAGATCAAAGGTCGAGTCGCTCGCTTATCGCTGAGCCGTACAGTTACCGACTCAACCGCAGCCATGTAACTGAATAGCGAGGTGTAACACCGGAACAATAGTCCTTGCTACATAGAGATCCGGAAATCTCGAAAAGCCCCCAGAGCACGGCTCCACTTTTGTCTTTCCCGTACTCTCCCATTGGTCGCATGTATTCGTTCAGGGATAAAGATCTGCAAAATAGTCTTTCAGAAATGATCGGCAAGTGATAATACTGGTGAGAACGTGCGACATGATAAACTATCCAGATCACTATCTGTACTTTGGGGTGAAAACCACGTGGGAGTATGCCTGAGGCGGTTTCGAAATGTGCATGAATCCGAGCCGATGGAGAAGACCTGTGGTATCGGGCCATCACTGGTCACGTGCTAACGCAAAATGCTTGATCTCACCATCCTCGGGTAGGCTTGCAAACCTCGCGGTAGAATACAGATAGAAATGGCACGGGACAAAACAAAGAAAGTCCCCAAGGGTAACCTGTACAACAATGCTATTCACATTAGATCTTGCATGAACCCGAAAAAAAGATGGCAACAGAAGGCCAAGATGCATTGGCAGTGCTTAGGCTGAGGTCAAGAGTATTGAGTTTTGAGATGGGCTAAATCGTTACAAACGTCTATTATAGGTGGTTAAAAAAATATGTATCAAGTAACACCACTGGCCATTCAAGCCCTCCCGAATATCGAGATCATTGTCCCTCACGCAAGACATTCGGATACAACACCAACAAAGCGTGCTGCAACATGCGGAGACTCCAAAAGTATGAAATTATTTAGGCCTACCAGGACCCGAAGAAAAACTGGCATCATGGAAATGGGAAGGAATTGGGAATATTGTGATGATGTTTCAAAAGAGTTGCTCGAGGTTTCCTGAAGGGGTGTGAGTGAACAATGCTTGAATAACCGAGATTTGGCAAGCTGATAGCTCTGTGATCACCTGTGAGATTGCATTGCTTCCAGTTGAACGATTGTGTTCATGAAAGACATCCAAAATGAAACAGCTCAATCGTGTGAGTTTTTCACTCAAGCCGCCTTCTTTTCTTCTTCATCTTTTTTATTCTCACCTTCTTTGGGCTGGGCTTTGTCTTCCTTTTCCTTCTCCTTCTCCCCGACGAACTCATCAAACTTCTGATACTCATCTTTCTTCTTCTCTTCTTCCTTCTTTCTCTCTTCATCCTCCTTCTTCTTCTCCTCTTCCTCCTTCTTCTTTTCTTCCTCAAACTTCTTGCCGTACAAAACGTGCTCCTTCTGCTCGAAAATTTGGCGGTCTTCCCATTTGATCTTGGCAATATTCTTGTAGATGGAGTCCCCACTCTCTTTCAGGAACTTCAGTTGACCCTTCATGAATTCCCCACACAGTTTCTTTGGGTCATTTTCCTCGAATACCCTAAAATTGTGAGATTCAGTACACACATATTTGTTGATGGTTTCCCAAATGAATGCTTCTATGTCGTACCCGAACAGGTCAAGTTCCTCACCCATGTTGCGAACGCGCTCGTTTGTCTCCGGCTTGAATCCGAACTTGGACTGCATGATCGTAAATGGATTCATCTTTGGATCGTGCATGTGGACGAACATCACGTGGGAGTTTTTGGTGGTGAAGTAGTTGCGATATAAATCATCGTAGTTGTAATCGAAGTGGTCTGTATCGCTATTTTCGAATTCCACCAGCTTTTTCTTGACTTCGCCAATGCGTTTCTGTAAAACCTCATAGTCTTTAAGAGGATCAAATTGGATGATAGAAGAGTGCTCCCAAATGTTCTCGCCATTGAACCAACCGAAAGCCTTCTCAGCCTTCTTGTAGACCTGGTAGTATGGTAAGTTGTAGTAGTGAGCACTCGCCACAAACGTTTCCTTATCACCTTCTCCTGCTCCTCCCTGGGAAAGAAGCGGGTAAAAGCCCTGCGGACCAGCAAAGTTATAGTAAAGAGAAAGCATCAAGGACTTGAAATGCACCTTTTTGTTGATAAGCAGCTCACCACTCTCACTTGACCAATCTACCATAGCTCCTTGACGGTCATGGAAGGGAATATCCTTGTATGGGTCATTATTTTCGCCTGTGTAGTACTTTGGAGGCGTGAACAGGTCGTTGCAGTTGCGGACACGGCTCTTTCCAACATCGATCCCGGCTATCTTGTAGAAGGTGGGAGAGGTGGTGCGGCGCCAGAAGTCCGGCCAGGTAATCATAGTGAACTTCTTGAAGAGATCCGAAGAGAACAAAGGATCCGGATTGGTGACTGCGAAGGTATCGGAATCCATGAGAAAAGCGTTCTGGAACGAGGACCCGAGCAGCGCAAACGACTTCAGCTGGTAGCCCTTCACGTTCAGCAAGTCATAGACTCGAGATCCAAACACCTTGCGAAGTTCAACACAACGTCCGTTCAGGCTGGGAAGAATCTTCTCGCAAAACTCAAATTCGTAGTCCGATTCGGATGGAAGAATCACCTCTACCGGCAACTCCGCACCGGTGCGGCGCAATGCCTCAATGTTCATAAGTGCGTACCACGAGTATTTTCCGCCTCCTACAATAACGTAACCATCACCTTTGTAGAATTCCTTATTCGGCAAAGCCTTCAAGCTGGAAACCACATCGGCATGCTTGATGGTCATGTCTTCCACAAAACTGGGCTCAAACTTGATGAAGTCCTGCAGAACCTCTTCAGTGAGCACATCAGACTGCAAAGGATAAAACCGCACTGGCTCCCACTTCTCCATGAGCCGTTCCTTGACAGGAAATGAGACATCATTTCTGACTATGATGTTGAACACCTCGCCAAAATAATTCTGGAAGCGCAGGTCACCCCGAAGCACGTCAAACTCGGAGTTGGTCGAGGTTTCATCAGAGGAACCTTCCTGAGACTTGGGATCATCAGATTTGAGTTTGTTCCCAAAATAGCTTTGTTTGATCCTGTCGTCCTCGTGGTTGGAGCCAATCAAATCCTGCGCTTTTCCGTGGTACTCCTTGACAGTATCATGGTAGAACCCCAACACTGCAAACGTCACCACGATAGAAACCAGTACCAACAACCGGACTTTTTTCTTGATCACAGGAGTCATGTTGTTTTGAGGCTTATAACTGGCGCGCCAACTCAATGCGACGCGTGTGTTTTGTGTAGGGCCTCGTACCGGTTTGAAGATAAACGAGACAAGCTGGTGACAAACGGGTTCTAATCTGAGAGCGAGGAGGGCTCCTTGTCAGAACTTTGGACGGTTTTGAAGCGCTGGTGGTGGTAGGAGGGGCTGTCGTGATGGTGGAGGGAATCGTACGCAATTTCAGCATTTTCGGTCCAGGTAGTGTGCACCAAAAAAAGGTTTCTGCCACAACTTGAAAAACTCCCAAACCAGGAAAGCGAGGCCGGTTCCATGCGATGCGATTTCAAGTCCGGATTTGTTCCCTGCATCGTTTCCGACGTTTCAGATTTGCGTGCGCAGTCAAAATCTGGTTAAAGACCCATCCAGTCCACACCTCCGCTGCTTTCTTCCAAACGATCCTCCCTGAACCAGATAGGAACCAAGTTTGGGACGGATCTTAGGTTTGTTATTGCCATTTGAAGTTGAATTGCCGGCTGCTATAATACGTTGAAGTGCCCGAAGATACGCTAAGCTTCTTTTCGTTTTCCGCCTTCCTTTTTCATGACTGCAAAAGCAACTTGGAAGCGCTATAGACTCGCTATCGCTGCGCTCGCGGCCGTGCTGGTGCTTTTGAAGTTTTTGGAGCCAGCCAAGGGCCATCTTTCAGGCTTGGATGTGTTCTCTACGGCGGCAAATTCTACAGTCAAGCTGGTGGGCAAAAACCCAAAATCGATGGCTGCAATCGAGACAAGATTGGAGTACTACTTCCCTTACGAGCCAGCAGATCCGGTCGAACCCAGCATCTGGCAGATCTGGAAGTCCAAGCTCGACGATCAGGCTTTCCCAGAAGTGGCCAAACAACACGTTGAGAGGTGGCGTAAAGTGAACGATAACTATAACCACAATTTGCTGTCGATGGACGAGGCTGCTCAGGTCGTGAATGACCACTTTAAGGGCACTGCCAGCGAGGTGGTGGAAGCTCTGGCAATGCTACCTAACGAGCGGTTGCGGTTTGAGCTTCTAAAATACCTGGTGACCTTTGTGAATGGAGGATTGTACACAGATATCGACACCAAGTGCGTCAAGCCTGTCAAACACTGGTACGAAACCCGCATGGGCAAGACCAACATGATGGTTGGAATTGCCAATGACTTTAACGATGATAGCTGGGACAAATTGTACACCCGGAGGCTTCAATTCTCGACAGGGACGTTCAAGGCGAAGGCTCATCATCCGTTTTTGCGCAAGCTAATTGCCAGAATTGTTCACATCTGCTTTACTCAAAAGGTTACGATCTTGGAAACTAATTGGGAGGAGGTCTTTGATCATGTGGATGCAAATGGTGAACCGTTGTTACAGTTTACTGGGTCTGTGATCTTCACCGACACTTTGTTTGAGTACCTGAATGGACTGGACAACGTGATCTTCATGAGAGTGGCAGCGAACGACCAAGATAAGCCCAAGATGAAGGTGGTTGGTCCAGAGGTTCCACCGGATGTCCGCTTCAGTTACCGTCAGTTCACGGGGCAAAAGGCTCCGTGCCAGGTAGATGACACCGTGATCATGCCACTGTCCAGTTTCAACGGTATTGCGTACGAGGATCCAGATGAACTTGACGACAAGAATGAAAAACTGAGTGGTGATAACAAGTACTTTTATGTGAGACACTTAGCACTTGGGTTTTGGCAGAGCAAGAAGAGCGAGGGAGAGATGAGAAAGCTGAAGGAGAAAGAGGCCGAGCTGACTCAGGAGCCCGGAACTGGGCAGCCAAACGTGGTACCAAGCTGAGAAGTTTGGTGAAGATGATGTGGCATAATTGGGATTGAAGTCAGTCTGTTGGCCAGCGATACTGGTGCATGAAAACGAAGGGGAAACGGGCCAGCGAGATTGATTAGATTGGACTATAATGAAGAATCCCGCATTCCGATTTTGGAAAATTAGGGACAATGGGAGACAGTTGCGGTCCCAAGAAGTAAGTCTGGAGGATATGAAGAGGATATGAAGAGGATATGATAAAGATCTGATAAGGGTCCAAGTGCGACTGAGGTGAAAAGTCCACATATATTAAGATTAGTTTAAGATTAGTTTAAGACTGACCATGAGTTGGTCATGTGCGGGCACGATAGTACGAGTTTTTACAACGAACAACTGTAGGAAGTGGCATGGAACAATGCATTAAGCAAGATAAGACGGTCGCCAGTAGTATGAGTACGAGTCCTGCAATCGGTGAGATCCAAAATTAGGCAGAATTGCTCAAAAAATCAAATATTTCAACTTCATAAATGGAAGAGTCTCACTGTTTATTGCGTTATTTCTCAAGGTTCAACCCCCTCACGTTCAGTCCCGATCTGAAATTGTAGACATATTTGGAAATCTGTACAATAGTCAATGGTGAGATTACGCAGACATGCAGATCCGGCTGACTTTGCCGACCGAGCCGATATGACAGATTTCGCAGCTTTGCCAAACTACTCTGCAAAATCACCATCGAGAATACCTTTGAAATCCCACATAAATTGTCACAGCTACTATTAGACTGTTATCGAACTGCAAATAAATTCCAGTTCAGCACCCCTTAAATTGTCAACAACCTATCAAGTTTCAGGCATGCCTGCAGCATCTACATCCTATCCCATGTACCTCTGCTCACTTCTCCGGCCGGACCAAAACCAACAATAACCAATTATCAAACCTGCCCATTTTCTTGCCAATACCTCACCAATCTTGTTTCTTTGTTTCGCCAATATATCCCGCTCACAAACTTTTATAATCGCCCATAGCCAAATCACGGCCAGACCGCCTTTGCGAGGGTTCTGGGAGTCGTCCGCCTCGTAATACCAATGCATGAAATCTGCGCTTTAGCCTTTTGAGCCAAGTCCGGAATTTCAGCTTTGGGACGGTCGAGTACCCCCGGGATTCACTTTAAGCTTATAACTCGGTTATAACACAATAGCTAGTTGTACCCTTCTTCTTTTCTTCATTGCTCCTCCGTTCATTCTTGGCCTTTTTTTATTTCTAAATTTTTTTCCACGTTGTCTTGCTAACGTTATCGATGGACTTCCGAAGACGATATTTCAGACGCCTGGTGCTATTATTGACGGCGTTGGCTCTAGTTGTTGCTGGCTCCCGCTTGAGCTCGTTGTTTGCTAGGGAGGGCCTGGTGCACCCCATTGACTATCTTGAACCAGCTTTATCACTACAAAATCCTGAGCTCAACAATGGTTCGTTGCAGTTGACAGTCTGGGAGAACATCGCCAGATTGACAATCACACAGAGCATTTTTCGCCAATCAAAAGCCGCAGAACGGCGCAAGAAGCTGCTGGGTCCCTCCAAACTGCCCAGACCAGACCCATACAACGAGGAGACCACTTACCAGAGGCTGCTGTACCAGTTTCCCTACGATTCCATGGACAAAAGGCCAATTGAGCGCAACATCTGGCAGATGTGGAAGACCACGCTTGCCAACGAAGATATCCCATATCGCTCGTTCATTAACGACTGGAAGAACCTCAATCCCAACGATAACTATAACCTCATTTCAGATAAAGAGGTTTATGAAAAGATCAAGCTTCATCTCTTCAGGACTGTTCCTGAGGTGGTGCAGGCCTTCGATATGATGCCAGAGCCCATTCTCCAGCACGATCTGGGGCGGTATCTTATTGTGTTCCTGAAGGGCGGGGTCTATTCCGACATCGACACGCAGATAACCCGGCCTATAGACGAATGGTATGGGACTGATGATCCTAATGTTGGGTTTATTGTGGGAGTTGAGGAAGACATGAATCTCGAAGACTGGTTCCGGTACATGCCGCGGAGACTACAGTTTGCCCAATGGACTCTTCGGGCAAAATCCCACCATCCTCTGCTGGCCAGATTGATTGCACGAATCGTGAAAACCACCTTTGACGCGAAAAAGAAAGACAAATTGCGTGCTTACTACGAGTCATTCACCGGCGTTGATAAGTGTGAGAGCATAGATGTGATGGACTGGACCGGCCCTGGTGTCTTCACGGATGTCGTTATGTATTATTTGAATATCCGCGAGGATGTTCCTCAGATGTTGGAATTGAACCCAGATCGCGAAAACCAGGGTGCTTTGGTGGGGCCTAAAACTGTTCCGGGGCAGATGTTTGATTATAAGCTGTTCAGTGGGCTTATGGCCCCAGTCGTGATCGGCGATCTGATAGTTTATCCTAAGCGTGCATGGCGCTTCAGCCCTGATGGGATGTACGGGTACAGTATTCATCATTTTGGAGGTACATGGAAGGCGAATGGGGAGAGCTAGGACAATTACGCAAACAACTAGAAGTTAATGGTCAGATGAAGGTGCACTGCGATAGAACGGCGCGGGGTTTGATCACACAGGGCCAGTTCGGCCGCAAATTAATGTTGGAGGGTTTGCAATTAAGATTTTGCAGCCAAAAATATCATGTCCATGTTTATTCTCAGGTGATTTTCTCATAAACGACTGAAACTAATGAAAAGGAGAGACTGATTGCACACATACAGGAGGATGTGGAAGACTGCATTGGCCTATGTGGAGAAGATCAAGTTCAAATCACAAACTACTTGCTGTTGATACGAACAAACGAGAAGAAAACGACCTCGCAAAGTTCAAAAGACGCGTGGGAAATGGTTATGGTGAAATATTTAGGCGATTTCCGGATTTTGGCTTGCTGCCTTTTCGCTGGAAGAAGCTCCAATTCAAGTCACACGACCAGTTACCGCCATAGGTGTGGTAGCCGCAAAAATTGAATAACGGATTAATACGAACGAAATGTTAACTATGCACAATTTAGTCAAGTTTTCCACATACAGGCGAATATTTGCCAAATGCGGAGTCGGCAAGCTGATATCATATCAGCCGCATCCCAGTAAAACGCGTGAAAACCCTGCTTCGCCTATCTCGATCAGGCACACACATGCTTAAGCCACTTCATTCTGCACGTCAACGCATTCCAGTCAGCAATGTCTCAGGACTGACATCCGTCGGCCAATCATCTCCGAAACTATCAAGGCTTGGCTGACACTAAGCTTACGATAGTGGCAGCCTCAAAAGCGGAAGGGAGGGTAATCAGACAGGTGTGTGTAAGAAAAGCCCTTTACGATCCTACCAAATACCACGTTGCCACACGACACATACCAAGCCTCTTCAATGCTTAGCCACGGATTGCTAATTAACAGTGTGCAACCGATGCAGGGGCCCGTTGATTCCACTCTGATACCAAAATATCCAGCAAAGATCTGCAAAGTCTTGCTAGACGGATTGAACAGGCCACGTGAGCGTCGCCCCATACTACCGCGTACGGGCAATAACAACGCTGGCAGCTAATCAACGTGCTTTAGACGTGCCCAGGACCAAGTCCCGCCGCACAAAATGATATAGTGCCCCCGTTACCAGGACATGCGCTCTTGTTTCCGTTTCCGAAAATACCCGCTTGATACCCGCAGACTGCAGCTCAACTTTCCATTTTTGGATTCTTCGCCCCCTTTTACAAACACGTAATAAAAATGACAGACCCCCAAGCCAGTCGTTTGCTAAAACATTACCGACGTATGTTTTCCCAGATTTCCAAATAGCTGTTATTCGCGTCAAAGAGTTTGTTATTGCCTCTCTAGCTGCTATATCCATGGCCTTTAAGCATCGTTTCGAAGCAGACGCTGTTTCGGCGATGAACTCACTCAGGGCCCTGAGGCTCAACTCAAGACTGGTCAGGAGCAGCATTCTGGTGCTGGTATTGGTGTCCGTCGTGCTATTCGTTTCCTCCAGTCCACAGCCCGCTGTTGGTAGCGATGGAAAGGCTTCAGGCTATAGCCAAGCCGTGAAGAGCTCGATTTCTCAGCTTTTCGACAAGCCCAATCCGTATGAGACCAAGGTCACAGAAGCACGTCTCGCTAGACAATTCCCTTTCGACAAGACACCGCGCCCTATTGAAAAGAACATCTGGCAGATGTGGAAGGTCAAGCCCTCGGATCCAGACTTTCCTCAGAAGGACTTTGTGAACCAATGGAAAAACGACAACCCCACATACAACTACAACTTCTTGACTGATGATGAGATTCTGGCCCATCTGAGGCTTCAGTTGAAGGACACAGTGCCCGAGGTGCTTGAGGCATTTGAGATGCTGCCCACCAAGATCCTGAAATCCGATTTTTCGCGTTATCTGATGGTTTATTTGAACGGAGGCCTGTACTCCGATGCAGACACACAGCTCTACAAGCCCGTGGATCAATGGTTTGATTCCAACAAGAACGTTGGCTTTGTGGTGGGAATCGAAGAGGATATAAATGCTGAAAACTGGGAGAATTACATGACTCGGAGAATCCAGTTTGAGCAATGGACCCTGAAGGCCAAGGCCAGACACCCTCTTTTGCGCAAGCTGATCGCGCGGATCACCAAGGTGACCTTTGACGCTCAGAAGCGCGGCCATCTGGTGGCCTATTACAAGGACTTCAAGGGCGTGGACAAGTGCAAGTCCGTGAACATCATGGAATGGACTGGTCCTGTCATTTGGACCGACACTATCTACGACTACCTGAACTCTCTGACGAACCCCACAGTGGTTGAAATTGATCCTGAGCGCACATACAAGCCCGAGGATGAATTATATGGACCTGAGATTGGACCTGGCGAAAATTTCAATTGGAAGTTTTTTGCGGGAGTGAAGGCTCCTATCATGATAGATGATGTGGTGATCTACCCTCGACTTTCGTTCAGAGACGACATTTCTAACAACTGCGGCAAGTACTGTTACGTTTTCCACTGGTTCGGAGGTTCTTGGAAGAACAACGGTAAGGGCGAGGTAAAGCCTGGTGACGAGAAGAAGGAGGAGAACAAGAAGGACGACGAGAAGAAGGAGAAGCGTGATGAGGGCTGTCTTGGCAGTTACTAAAGTTGTTGCAGTTCCTTGATACTTCTGGAGGATTGCTTGAAGGTTTGAAAGATTTTCAAGAAGGGCCAGAAGAAGGGCCAGAAGAAGGGAAAGAAGAGATTTAAAGGTGTGGACCCAAGCATGATCTGCCCTTCACGAGCTACGCAGCTGCACAGCTACTGGTCTATCCGTCTCCAATATCCGATTTTCCGTCATTTGATCTTGATCAATCTTATCAGTCATGTGTTTCTGTTTCACGTTTCGCTAGTCAAAACTACAGCTATTTCCTCGGCTAGGCCGAACAAACTAGCCGACTGACTAGCCAAACCATCATTCAACCCATAAGAGACACTCAAGAAGCAATGTGGTAGAACAGTAGAGCCAAACCATTAATCAAATACTTACTAACACTCGAAACTAAAACCATTTAAAGGCAACACCAGCTTTACCTGCTGCTCATGAAATACAGGCCTTGACCGCCTCGTTCACCAAAGCCAATGGATACGCCGCGCCGTGCCCATGACACTTCTCATTTCCCTTCAGCAGCATCATCACACGATGCACATCCACATCGACCTCTTCATTATCCCTGATTAGCTGGTTGATGTAGTCCCAGACCGCACCCACGGTCAGCAGCTTCTGGCCCTCAGCAACATACGTCTCGGACTTGCCCTGCCCTTCATCGTTTGGATCTGCCACCAGTTCGCCGATGAACTGGTATTTATCGCGCGGGAAGTTGAACTTCTGTGTCTGAGCCACTGGATCCGTGGTGGCTATGTCGATAACGGACGATGCGGAAGGCGACGGCGACCGACCAGGGCCCCCCACATCTGTCTCCTTGGATGAGGTCTTTTGCAGAATCTGGTTCTCCGTTCCGAGAATCAGATTGGCCTGTTTAAGCGCTTCCAATTCGCGCATCAACTGCTGGCGCTCAGTCTCGCTCTTGGCGAGTTTCGCACTCAACTCCTTCAGTTTGATCTCTTTGCGCTCACGGAAAGCACGCTGTGAAGCTCTATTCTGGGCCTTTCTGCGTTGATAGATCTCTTCCTCACTCGCGTGGGGAAGCGTCATGGACGAATCTGAGGAGGTCTCTCTGTGTCCATTTCTCCCATCAACTGATTCTGCACGAGTCTCAGGATTGCCTATGGCCACATCAAACTCCTTTTTAATGCATTCGTCAATATTATCAGCAACTCGATGTTCATCTCCAAAAAGCCCTTGCGTCTGATCGCTCAGCTTGAGATACCCGTCCCACATCGAGTCAGTGGCGGCATGGTTTGGCATCAGTTCGTAGTCCATCGTAGAACACTTGATGGGTATTTAGATCGAAACAACAGAATACCGTGATCTGGCAATAGTATTAGCTTTCACTTAAATATTGGAACTCTGAGGAGCCTGACGAGTTGAAGGACGTTGGGTTGAGCCGTCATGCCTGAAGATTTTGGACAAAAGGCTGAACCCCCGGAAAGGCGTGTGAAATACAATTATTACAATAGAGCGAGCAGAACGTGCGCCGCCCATAACTGGGGCCTTTATTGAAAAATTCCAAACATTTTACCAGATGGAGATCGAGACGGGGTTTGAAAACTCGAATTGTATATGAGGGTAGTTGATTAATATGTACATTGCTTAACAGGAGCCTCACGTAGACCGATTTAGGTCGTTTTCAAGGGCGCAGCGTCGATTTCGCGTCCTGAATCTTGACGTAACTTCCCTTTGGACCACTCACATGGCCCTTGACCACGATATATCCGTTTTCGGCACTACAATCCAGTACCTCCAGGTTCTTAATAGTGTTGTGGATGGCGCCCATTCTTCCTGCCATCTTCTTTCCTGGCAACACTCTTGCGGGCGAGGTGTTCTGACCCGTGGAACCAGCAGAACGATGAGCCAGGGAAACACCATGAGAGGCTGGCAAACCAGAAAAGCCCCAACGCTTCATGACACCTGCAAATCCCTTACCTTTGGTCACTCCCTGGACATCCACAAGCTGGCCAATCTCAAATAGATCAGCCTTCAACTGAGTTCCCACAGGGAGCAGTTGCGACTCCTCTCTTAGCTGAAATTCCACGAGCTTCTCCTTAGGCGAAACCTTAGCAGTGGCATAGTGTCCCAACAGCGACTTCGTCTGATTTTTCACCTTGAACCCGTATCCAACTTGTGCTGCAATGTAGCCGTCCTTGCTAAGAGTCTTGTTGTGCACAACCTCAACCTGATCAATTTCGAGTACTGTAGCAGGATACTTTTCTCCGGTGGCTTCGTTATAGAATGATACCATTCCTCTTTTCACACCTATCAAGCCTGGTCGAGTGAGGAACTCACGGACAAGTCTCTTTCCCTCGGGCGATTTCTTCAGCACGGGAGCAGAAGTTTCCAAAAAAGGAATAGATGCTGGAGACGTTAGCATAGCCTTCGTCCGCATAAAGATGCGGCCGTATAGTAGCTGTGGTAGCCTCATTATTGTGTGATAAATGTATTCTGGAAGATAACTCTCGCAGCTTCAATGTCGTCACTTTCGAAGAAAAATGGAAGAACATCTCCTACGTGTACCAACCGCCCTGAGTCACGCACGCCTGCTTAGTTGCACGCTTGAAATCAATCAAACCTACAATGCTATGTCTTTCATGACAATTTGAATTATAAACGCAAACAACAACATATAAAACGGGCAAAAAACCAGACCACCGCCGTGCACCACACCTGAACCTAACTCGCGTAGAAAAAAAATAGATGAGACTGGGGGAGTCACATGTCCTCAACATCGCGTTCAGACAACAACTCATAGTCCTCGGTATCGGACATTGTCAGTTCACAGTACTCTTCAGCGCCATTATCGCCATCAAAGCTGCTGAGCTCATCGACCTCGGCCTCGGTTTCAGTCACAGGTTCGGCCGCCGAGACAGCGATCGAATCGGTCGTTTCTTCCGCAGCATCTGTGACTTCCTTTAAAGTTGTTCTTGAATCACCCGTAAGTTCACTTGAAGGTTGCAAATCAATTGACTTTTCGTTAGCTTCAGCATCAGCATCAACATCGACATCGGCATCGACATCAGCGTCAGCTTCAGCTTCTTTAATGTCTTCACGGACGGCTGGAATTTCTAGCTGCGTATCTTGGGCCTTTTCATCTTCTTCAGAAACACTAGACGTCTCCTTGGCTTCAGCTTGGATCGCATCATACTTCGCAGCCTTAGCTCTCAACGACTTCAAACCAGCTCCGTCGTTGCTGCCTAGATCGACTAGATCTTGGGCGAGACCAATGTTGTTTTCAAGATAGAGATCAGCAAACATATCAGTGGCAGCTGCCAGGTCAAAATCCTTGCGGTCAGCAGAGCTGGAGCGCATTCCCGATTTCGCCTGCTCAAAGTCCCAATCGAACGTGAACGCGTTATTCTTGTAAGGCCCGCCCTTCTTTGGAGCACGCGACGTCTTGTAACCGTCATCCTCAAGCCTGGCCATGTACATGGCATTGAGCTCACATTTATGCAAATTCTTCTTGATCTTCACCATCAAGTGTGTATCGTTGTGTGATCCTTGAGCAACACCATCATTTTCACACTTCTCGCAGAGATCGAAGTCCTTGCACTCAAGACAGTGATATCTGACACCGTGGATGTAATTTCCATTTTCAAAGCCAGGAGTAACACACCCGTCACAGTAGAACCCGCGATGAATCTCAGCTGGAGCTGGCCAGGGTGGACTGGTGATCTTTTCGACCTTTGAGTTTTTGGGAGATTTGGAGCATCTAAATTGAACTGGAGCAGACTCATTTTCGGAGTCAACGAAAATTCCATTCACACTGTAGAGTTCACCAAGTTCGGGCTTAGCAGATGCAAACTGCTCCTCAAACAGCTTGGCAAGATTCTTGATGAAGTCCGAGTTCAGCAGATTGTCCGAAATTATGGTTCCGAGATCGTTGATGTTGACGAGGGAAGCCAGGAACTCGGGAATTGAAGGATGACCTTTCTTCTCGTACAGCTTGGAATAATGATCGAAAAACTTCTTTGAACTGGATTCATCATCCACCAGATCTTCAAAGATTTTGATGAGAGAGGGCAAGTCCTTGGCCTTGCCTGGACTAGGCTCATCTGTGGGTTGAGCTGACGAAGTGGAACTAGAGGCGGAAGTCTCTGCAGTCGAAGGTGGGATCGAAGGAGCTACACCCGCAAATTCGGCTGCCGCTCCAACATCTTTAGACACTTCCTCCTTCCGCTTGCCACAAACAATATCAAGCTTCAAACAATTCTTCACCTGGAGACTACGGTTAAGAGCGGCAAAATCTTCAGCTGTCTTCAACAAAACATAGCGCTTACTCTTCTTAGATTTCCGTTTGATCTCAAGCTCGCAATTCTTCAAAGAGTCCCTGTACTTCTCAGGCGAATTCCTAATCAGTGACTTCAGAAGCGCCTGCTCAGTCAGCGGAGTCGGGAGATTCTCCCCGTAAAAAATATACTCGTCCTTGTGGACATCATCAGTCGTTATCTTAACAGTTACAACCGTGAACGACATCGTAACCAGCGGTTGAAGTTTAAGAGAAGAAATACTGACAGGAAACAGGGGGCCAGCCGATTTGCCCCCCACAGTTTAGTTGAAGGTCGTGTGTGTTCCAATCATATACCCAATCGGGAAACAACCTCCAAATGGAGGGCTGGGAAAAATCCGGATTTTCAGACTTCCGGATTTCGGATTTTTTGCCGGGGTCCAGTTCCGGATTTCGGGTTTTTCTTGCGGTTTTTTGTCACCTGCTACATTTGGAGGTCGCACGCACACGTGTGTGCGAATAGACCCGCTAGTCGAGAACATTGAATTATCTTATCAACTACTATTAATGGTGTGTATTGACCAATTTAGAATCCGAAAAATTTGAAAGCCATTTGCGGTTCCGGGTTTTTCTCGGGAAAAAACCGGCAAAACCGGAAATCCGCAGCGGCACGATTTATGCCCAGCCCTAATGGAGGCGATGCTTTGACGGATGAGATATGATAGGCCACAAATCGTTTATAAACAGTCTATAACGGTATTAGTTCTCCGGTGCTTGCTAAAAAAATTATTGTCCAATGGCCAAATATCCCCAAGCCGTTGTCTTTGACCTGGACTACACTATTTGGCGTGAGTTCAAACCAAAATCTTTCCCTTCGCAATGATTCGGTTACTAACGCCTCTAGCTTGTTGGTGTGATACACATCTAAGCCCTCCGCTTAAACTGGAGAAGGCTGGAGGAACGCGGGAAAGACTCCTAGTGGTGGATTCGTACGGATACAAGCTCCAGGTGTATCCAGATGTTCCGCGGATTCTCCAGGAGCTTCAGGA